CAGATAGAACGGCCTTTGGCCAAAGTCCTACATAGCCAACGGCTGATACAGGACTATAATGGAATAATAATAACCTCGCCGATATTCGTTGCCTGGCCTGGCTTTTCGACAATCTTTTGCAGTCGACCAACCAAGCCTTGCACATGGTGTTGGATTAACGCTTCTTAATCTTTAAGAGCATTTGGGGTAAACGCTGGTTGAATGCCTTTTTTCAGCTTCTTGTGCAGCTCTTTGTCATGTATTGTAATGATGTTTTTCCCGACTAGCAATAGGTTTCCAGCTTGCTCCTGTACAGTCCCTTGTTTAGTAAAGTATGTATTTCTGTTGTTTTTGGAGCTGTTGTAGATCTGCTTTTGTGCAACGACTGTGCTAAAAGAAAGTTCGTTGGGGCCCATGCGAACCACTGGGCCTGTTGGAAGTCCATTAGATATGTCTTTTGGCATTCAAGACATAACCTTAACCTACCAAAGGTCGCGTGTAAGTCTTTCATTCTGGTGTTCAGCCTTCTGCGCTGCATAACGTAAAGCATAAAAATCTTTTTTTTTCCATGAACTGTTAATAAAACCTCTTATGAAATTCTATTGCCCATGAAGCGGATGACTTACTGGCGAACACCGAGCAAGAAATGGACCAGGGATTTTCTTCAGCGGATAGAAAAAAAGATTTTAGATGATATTTCCGAGTTGCCACGACGAAAGCTTTTTTAGTTAGTTTAATCTAAGAATTGTCTCTACAAGAATAGATGAGAGGACTCACAAGGCCAAAGAACACAACTGTGATAGACACTCGGTCTATCGCATTCATTGACGAGAGCGTAGCTCCCATTCTGTTGCAACACGCAAGGGATCAGATCCAGGTAGATTTAGCGTAAAGTGAGATTTCCCGCGACGAGTGCAAAGGGAGATCTGTTTCACAAAACAGGTGGCATTGGCAGGCGAGAGTATCTATAGGTCTTCCTGGATGGTTCAGTATTCTCAAGCTTTTGTTCCAATTGCTTGACTAGTAGGCTATGTTAAAGACACCGTCTCTACACGACTGTTTCCCTTTACAGGGTTCAAGATAGTACCACGCGCAGCGCTAGTTGCCTGTAGTCAGCATACATGCCTCTTCACCCAGCATTTGTCTTTACTTTTCGGCTAACTACTTAATCACCTTGCACATCTTTGTGGATTCTCTCATATCTAACAATTTCCCTGAAAATTTACGTCCATTCGATTGACCAAACACTTTTCCTTCGGTCACTATATGTTTGGCACATTCTCGGGGCTTGGCTTCTATTAGTGAGGTTGTTGGAATTCGCCGTTGACGGATTAGATAAGAGCTGACTGTTCGGTCACGTATCTGCTTCGTGCACTTTTCGGCGTTTCCTCTCTATTTTCTAGCCTCGCAAGATCTGCCTTTGATGATTGGCTAGATGGGCAAGTAGATCCGAATAGGTCATACGTGCCCTTATCGTTACACATAACTTCAGATTTCAGGTCTGGAGCAGAATCTATATAAGAGTATCATGCATTATATTTACTAGTATTAATCTTGTTATTCTTGCATCTGTTCATCCTTATCAGAAAGCTTTGAAATTTCTGTATTGAACGTCATGGAGGCTATTTTCCAACACTCTTTCCCTGTTGATCCTAAGGAGTTGTCAAAACATGGCCATTTTTCCAAGCTCATGCCCCGTATAAACCACAGAGACGATTTGGCAAATGCTGCAACTCGAAAGCTCTTATTAAACTGGGCAGAAATGGTTGGAGATGGATGGGAGAGCGAATCTAATAGCTCACTGAGTAAAGTTGGCAATTGGTGTTCGCTAGTTTTCCCTGAAACAAAGCCGGAGAGGTTAGGAACTCTGACCTATCTCACCGATCTCGGGTTGATACACGATGGCATGTCAATGAGTTCCTGCTTATTTTTATTAGTTTACTGATATTGGAGATAGATAATACGGAAGCGATATCTTCTGATTGAGCTAATCAGGAGCATCAAGTACTCTGTGTCGCTTTGAATGATTCCGATAATTCAAATATACCTGGAGGTTCCCGTTCTCAAAAGATTAAGAATCTAGCAGCTCAATTTTTGTTCGAAGCAATGAGCATTCATTACGAAAAGGGTTCGATGATGATCAAAGCTTATCGAAAGAAGTGGCTCGAGGTGATGGACAGCCCACCATCGAATGCCTTCAAAGATATCTCATCTTACTTGAAGTTTCGAATGAGCAACGTCGGCATGGAGTAAGTAATTCCACTTCTCTGTGCGATTCTCGCAGATTACTAATTTTGTCTACTAGTCCTTTTTGGAATGGACATAACATTGACAGCGGACAAAACCAAGGCCACACAACACGTTATGGATGCCGTGGATTGTGCACTCGTCCTGACCAACGACTACTACAGTTTCGATCGGGAGTACGCAGCAGTCAAATCTAACCCCGAGGCTCGTATCGTGAACGGGATATTCCTCCTCATGCTAAACGACGGTATCGATGAGGCGGAGGCAAAATCATCAAAACGCGATCTAATCGTCGAGTATGAGTCGCAGTTCCTTGTTCGATGGAAAGAATACCAGGAGAAAAATACCAACATGTCGATGAATCTCCGACGCTTCATAGAAGAGCAGGTGCTATCGTGGCCGGTAACCACTGGTGGTGTACCGTGTGCCCTAGGCATCATTCTTTCAAGACCCAAGCAGCGAAAGCGCCGCAAACACATGTCGCTCCTTCAAAACCCCTACCAACTGGTGGACCGAAAAGAACCGACTCTGCGACATCCATTGACACGGTTTTCACCCCTCAACTCTCTCAAGAAGCACTAGTAGAACCTATTGATTATCTCAAATCAATGCCATCGAAAGACGTTCGGAAATCGCTTATCGATTCATTGAATGTTTGATTCGATATTCCTACAAAAAAGGTGAAGAGCATCGAAGAGATCATAGATACCCTTCGCCAGTCATCATTGATCCTGGACGACATCAAGGACAACTCCGGTATCCGACGTGGCCTACTGTCCGTCCACACAATATATGGCCAGGCCCAGGCAATCAACAGTGCAACATACATTTTTGTTCGGGCCGTGAACCTAACCTCTCTAGGGTTAAGTCCCAAAGGGCTATCACGCCTGCTGGAAGGTCTTGAGCGTCTATTCGTTGGCCAGAGCTAGGATTTGTATTGGAAACACAATCTGATCTGCCCCTCGAAAGAGGAGTACTTGCAGATGGTGGATGGAAAGACAATGAGCATGTTCAGACGCTGGTTGAGCTGATAGAAGTCGAAAGCCTCACACCGTGTCCTCCCAAGACTGAAAATCTCATTTTCCTCTTGGGGAGGTATTTCCAGATCAGGGACGACTACATGAACTTGGTATCCAAAGGATACGCAGCGCAGAAGGGTACTGGTGAGGATCTCGAAGAGGGCAAATTTTCCTTCCCGATCTTCGCTTGCATACAGGATTGCCCGGCCTCCAAGGGCAAGATCCTTGGTTTGTTTCGCCAGCATGCGGCTGGTCAGAAGCAGCAGTCGATCGGGATGGGTGACGAGTGTAAGAGTCTTATCATGCATATCTTGAACGATAGAGGGGCTCTTGCTACAACTAAGAGCTATCTTTTAGAACTAAAAGATAGCCTCAAGGAGGAGATCGGGTGCCTGGAAGCAAAGACAGGAAAGACTAATAGCCTGTTGACGCTTTTGATTGAGACTCTGCGTCTTAATCAATAGCAGATCAATGCAAATTTAGTCGCGCTGGTCACTTTCTGAAAAGAAGGGCATTAATTCTTTTGTCTAAGTTCTAATAACGATGCGGGTATTCTAAAAAAACTCCAAACCCAAGCTACTGAAAGATGAGCGATACAACGAAACAAATCCATCACCAATATCGCGACCATGTGCGCCTCTTGCAACGCCCAAGCCCCAGAAACAATCCACAATGCTAATAAAATTCTTCAGAGTCTCATTCACGTAACGACTTCATCATCATTGTGCGCGCGATTATAAGGAATAGAGCCAGGATATAGCTCTGGAAGCTCAATCCCATCGTCCGGATGTAGTAAATGCCAATCGCGAACAATATCCCACGCTTCATTTATGTGCCAATCAGAGGCAATGCCCTCTTTAATGATCACGTACATGCGCCGAGCAAGTATAGCCTCGGGCGAGAACGCAAATCGCTTAAACTTCTCCGACGCATTGTCCAGAAAAAACCGCTGGAGAATTTTGCATGTTTCAGAGCGAGGGGAGATGTTTACTGTGATTTCGTCGTCAGCAATAGCACTTTCGATATGGTCCTCCGTCCACAGCCAAAAAGGAGCTCGGTAGGCGACGAACTCTGGCACGATGAGAGCGGAGTCCCAATCTATAGCGCCGGTGATTTCGACTTCGGTGTCGCTACGAATTTCTGCGAGTAAGTTGTATGCCATGAGATCTCGGTGAGCCAGCACACAGGGTCCCTCAAGAAAGCCGCGCTCATCCAGCGATTGGACGATCCGACCGAAGTTGCACCAGATTTCACCGAAAGTGAAGTAGCTGTTTTTCCTATGATATTCGCTCCATCGTCGACACTGCTCAAAGAGGTGCTCGAATGTATCCTGAGGTTCTTCGGGCAGCTTGAATGACTTGTCTCCCAACTTCTCGTGCTGCAAGTGGAGGCTTTCTACATGAAGTCGTGTCGAGTCTGAGGAAAGTGCATCTAGTGAAATAGCACCGCCCGGTCCCTCTACTGCGGCAATGGTAGGGACAAGTTCAATGACTTGTTTGGCGATGGACTTGAGCTGCTCTAAGCTTAGAGTCTTCTCTGTCATAAGGGCCGCCAGGTTTTTGCCTGGGAGACGAGATTGGATCATGTATGGTTTTCCCACGGCGTTATTGGAAGTTGGGTCGTAGCTCACTACGATTGGAATCGGCAAATCGAGAAGCGCACCGACAGTCTTGAGAATGGCGACGTTGCGATTCACAACAAGGTTGTCGTCCTCTCCGTCTGTACGAGGGATTCGAACAATATAAGAATTGGAATCTGGAGTCTCTGATGTTTGGAGCGCCCCTTGAAACCAGGATGGAAAAAGGATCTGTAATAATGCGTGAAACCAGGTCACAAGGGTCCGCTTGGGTCGTGGCGAGATTGTAAGAGCTGCGACTCGATTGTAGCTGCCCCCCTTCATGTACTCGACTTTGATGTTAGAAACATCTTTTCCGAAGCAAAGAGCAGCCATGGTAGCGATCTTGTGTTGAAATGTTTCGAAGGGTTCGTAAGACGGGTCATCGTTGTAACTGGAGGTGGACAACTCTGATCGTGCATCCACAAAGTCAGATTGTGTTGAGTTGGACGTCATGATGTGGGACAAACTTTTGCTAGATCTAGTTGTTGTTCTTCAAGTCAAGAATCTGGATGAGTGGCTTAGGTTCAGTTTCGCAAAGACAATTGAGAGGTTCTTATATGTTGCAAGCGGAGTGCACATTGTTTGCGAACAAATGGGGCTCCTTTGTCCAGTGCCTCAAAATAGAGTTAGTTCGTACCTGCAGTGAGACTTTCAGAGCGTTCCACCACCAGGTGAATCATTTTTTCATAGTACGATTAGAGACAGCTATGTGATGCAATAGAGGAGAGACATTGTATTCTCACTACTGGTTTAAACCATGATATAAAATGTTCGCTACAATAATGCCTAGAAACGATCTACAGAATCACAACTCTCAATTACAATACCTCAACTGACTTAAACACTTGTTCAACCAACTTAACCGAACATCTAGAAAACCGGACCCTTGTACATCATGCCACACAAGACTAAGACCCGACACCATTGCTCGGGCCAGAACGGATGGGTTGGCGATATAAGCCCCGGAAATTGCAACAAATCCGGTAATGGCTCTCACTGCACGAAGCATCAAATGCTTTGTGAGGGTGGGTGTGGGGCGTGGCATTTGAAAAATCAATCTGGATGCCAACAGTCCATCGCGAGGAAGGAAGCCGAGGAGCGTCGGCAGCGAGCCGAGCGCCAGCGTCTGAAGGAAGAGGAGGAAAAGAGTAAAGATGAGGATTTTTTCAATCCAGGTAAGGAACGAAAGAAACCTAGAAAAAAGGACTCTGACACTAATGCTGGCGCCGCAGCAGCTTAATTTCAACTTTTGCTATAGATACAGGCGGATAGAAGGCTCTGGTAGAGAAATTATAATAAAATTAGAAAGGATATATTGCAGAAATTAAAATGCTCGTGATATGCAGGCGGTAGAGTGAAACCCCAAGACGAGGGCTAAGCGACAAAAGCTCAAAGACGAAGAAGCGGAGAGGGAGGAGGATGACTTCTTCAAACTGGGTAAAGTCTGGAAAAACCCCCAAGAAGAATGATGTCAAACCAAACGATGAAGAAGCCCAAGACTGACACTCCTAGACACACAGGGCTGTGGAAAATATCATCTGGCAAGCCAAAAGGCATACCGGAAGTGCCTGGTCAAATTGAGAGCCGACGAGCGCCGGGCAAGGGCTCTGAAACAAAAGGCTAAAGATGATGAGTCGAAAACAAAAGGCCGATCGAGTTCTTTAAGCCAGGTAAAGAGCGCAAAAGCCGAAAAAAGCCCCCAAACCAGACCCTGAACACGACTCTGGCGAAGCTTGATGCCGACACTCCCAGACACCCAAGGTTGTGGAAAGTACCACTCGGCAAGCCTATCAGCTTACCGGAAATGTATCGGAAAAATGCGGGCAAATGAGCGTAAGGAGCGGGCTGAACGCCAGAAGGCAAAGGATCAGGACGCTAAGAACAAAGACGACGACTTCTTCAACCATGGCAAGAAGCGTACGAAGCCCAAAGAGAAGGATTCGGATGCTGAACCTGATGCTGGCGCGGCTTAATGCTGACATGTGCAGACATACAGACGGATAGCAGGTTACAGCAGAGAAAAATAGGAAGGATATATAGCTGGGAAGGGAGGCGTCCTGCCATCCAATGAATAAACTGAATATGAAAGGATTCGTGAACTATGCATCGCAACGTGACACTGGTATGGTGGTTGCCGCCTGAGGAGAGAAATATCGGACTTGATGTGGTGCTGGTCTGGCATCTCCAGGCGCATCTGGTGTTTGCATGGTGTTTCCATCAGGCTCGCCAGGTGTTGCGGTAGGCTGATGGATGGAGACCTTGCGGATATAGCGGGAATAATATAGAAATAGTAGTTGAGCTTGATGCTTTAGATTGTGGTTGTATATAGAGTGTGATGGAGTTTGAAGGGGATGAGGAGTTTTGGATGATTTATATGGGTTTGAAGTATGGAGGGTTAAGTTACTGAGACATGCTGATTCGTCAACGGGTTTATCTTTAAAGCTTGGACTGTGTTGCGAGACAGAATGCTAGACATGGCAGTTGGGATGAATGAAGAAAGAAGAGACAAGGCAAACTATCTTGATGCGGACTGTTTTGATGATGGCCAAGGTTATACGCGTTATCCGTCTGTTGTAGTGATGGATGATACCCCGGCGCTGAAGCAGCCAATCACAGCTCTCGCAAGCGACTGCAAGAATGCTTTACGTCATTGGCAATGCCATCGACACCGGGTGTCGTGACTTCGCGTTCTGTCCTCACCAAACGTGGCAAATGTCGTCCTTATCGCGTAGCAAGCCAGTCTTACATTTAGAAACGCGCTCGTTCAACCGTACGTTTGCACGTTTTACAATCCCGTTGCATCGCAGCAATCATTTTCCCTGACAATTCACGATACCCTTTCAAGCGAGACATCATACAACCATGAAGCGTGGAGCAATCGACTCGTTCTTCACGCGCCCGTCGCCCAAGAAACCAAAGTATGAAGTCAGTAAGGCCAAGTCGAGTCATGCTTCCTATCCCTTTGCGATTCCACACCTACCGGAGGACTTTGCAGAACAGCTGGGTTTCGCGCCTGCCGAGGAGGGCAAAATCATGAACGACCAACTTGACCTGGATCTCATCTACTACCAACCATACATCCCTTCCTCGATTGCTAGTGGCGTGTTTGAGTTTCTCCGGCAAGAGCTGCCCTTTTACCGCGTCATCTACAACATTACGCGCGGAGGAGTGCAGACACAAATCAACACTCCTAGATACACTACCGTGTTCGGTGTTGACGATACATCTCGCTTTTCTCCCGACGGAAAGATTATAGATGCCAAGACAAGCAAGCCGGTGGAGAAGACCAGATATAAATGCGCACCAAGACCTATTCCGCAATGTCTCGACGAGCTGAGAAAAGTGACCGAAGGAACAACAGGGGAGACGTTCAACTTCTGTCTCGTCAACTACTACGCCGATGGCAAGGACAGCATATCCTACCATTCAGACGACGAACGGTTTCTCGGCCCCAACCCAGCCATTGCGTCCTTCAGCCTCGGTGCAAAGCGCGATTTCCTCATGAAGCACAAACCCATGCCGCCGAAGGATGGTGAGAAGATTGAAGAGCCCAAGGGACTGAAGTTGCCGCTGGGCTCCGGGGATATGATCCTAATGCGTGGTACGACGCAGGCGAATTGGCTGCATAGTATACCAAAGCGTGCGGGGCCGGAGGCTGGCAAGGGGAGGATCAATATTACGTTTAGAAAAGCGATGGTGAAAGGGGGAACGGAGAATTACTATCAGTACAATGTTGGGTCTGGTGGGGTGTATAGATGGGATGCGAAGGCTGAGAAGATGGTGCAGCAGGAGATTGAGAAAGGAAACGATGAATGATTCGTCTGCTATTAAGGGGTTCGTCTGGGTTAGGCGTTGGTGTAGTGTGGAAGCAGACCTTGATGGACCTGTCATCCACTCGAACTAATCTCTCTGTTCCATGACGATTACTTATCCGTCTCTTATCCGCTCGATATGATTGCACCTGGATGGATTGACGTGCTGCTGGGGCTTTTGGGATTACGCAGCAGCCTAACCTGGGGCGGCGTTGGTGGACAAGCAAGAAATGGCTCGAGCATGAGCCAAGTCAACCCCGCTCTCGAGACTGTCGCGGCCACAGAAAGTATAAATTATGGACGTGAAAGGAGATTTGTGGTATCGCTGCGGAAAAGGACTGCATTATGAGTGAGTCAGAGCCGCGCATCAAGTAATCATGTCATGCGCATGGATGCCTGAGGGTGCGGTGGCGACCATGGCGCATCGTGCAGGCTCCCTTGGCGGGCATTGAATGAGGGTGGTCGGAGTTAAAGGCCGCCTAATTCTCCCAATGCCCTGGACAGGTTTCCCGCCTGCGACAGCACAACACAACACTCACCACTTATCTCTTGCTAGCCCGGTATTATCCACGCCAAACGAGTCGCCCAAGCAGGCCTGTAGTCGCAATCGTACAGCTGGGCGCTCTGGATAAGTGCAGCGCGCCATCTCGTCGTGGGTGCGACCAAAGGGAGCTCTCGTAGGGCGCAACAGGAGCTGGTTGAGAAGGGTACGAATCGGTGCAATGCTTCGTCACGATACGTCTGCTGAGAGAATATAGACAGTATTAGCAACAACATTTCGATACACTGCTGCCTTGCGATACCTCGACCATCAGTGCTCTAGCCGACAGCTTGCACACGCTTCGTCCATCTGGTCTGCAAACAAGAGCCCTGCACGCTGTGGCTCGACACGAGACGCATCCACCCCGCGACGGATGTTCATGGTCTCTGGGCATACATATTCGACCTAGAGGAGGTGGACTTTGGGGTGGAAAGCATAGACTGTGTTGTGCTTGATACGCAAAATCAGCTGGAAAAGACTCAGACAGTCTCAAAGAGGACACCGCCAGGACATCAAGCCATTTGAATCCCGGACTGCAGTCGTCACATCCCTTGGCGTCTGGAGATAGGCTCACCTCCGAAAGATTTAAGACCTGGCTAGCCCGCGCTCGCATAATTCTCCACCTGGGCACTCTTTCACGCCCTCCCATCTGTGCAGTGCTTACTCGCGACAACGCCAATCTGCACGACACGATCCAGAACCTCATCTCTGCAGCTCAGGCGACCCACGAAAGCGTGAGATTTCATCATACCTTCACCTCGGCGATAAGCCCTTAACTCCGCTCTCTCCACCCAACACCACACGTGCGACTGCAGCCCAGCATGCCGCCCACACCACCCTCCACAAACTCTTCGAGCGCAGGCCATTCGCCGCCGGATCCACAGTTTCGGGTCGTGCGAAAGAGGAACCGAGTCCCGTTGTCATGCGGCGCCTGTAGACATAGGAAGTAGGCATACCTCTACGAAGCCACTGCGCTGTACCCCCCAACGCTGACGCTTGCAGGTTGAAATGCAACCGTGGCCACCCCTGCGACAACTGCACCAAGCGCGGAGATACGGCATCATGTACGTATGCTGCTCCAAGCAACCGCAAGAAGAGCTCCTCGAGCACTGGCTCTGCGACGACCCCTGATGACATGCAAAACCGCATTGACCGTCTAGAAGGACTTGTCCTCTCTTTGATGACCAATGGCGCACAAAGCGCTGGCCCAGCTGCCGCTCATGCTGCCATCGCCGGTAGTCTCAACGGTGGAGCCTCGGATCCGCAATTCAATGTTAGTCAATATAACACTGCCATGAGCACTGGCGCGTCCGAGTCGATTCCTGAAGAAGATGTGGAAGAAGAAAGCGAAATGGAGAATGTCACAAAATCGATTGGCGTCATGAAGGTACACAACAACCAAACCGTGTTTGCTTCAGAGGCACATTGGTACGCCATCCTGGGGGAGCTATCCGAAGTCAAAAACTACTTTGCAGAACACAAGAAACAGTACGAAGATCAGCTCAAGAGGTATAGGGCAACACATATCGGAGACCGACCCCCAGGAACATCTTTCCTCATGGGCGGCCAGAAGCCCTGCTCTAAAGCTGAAGTTTTGTCACGCTTTCCTCCGAAACCGACGGCCGACCTTCTTGTGTCGCGATTCTTCAACACCTACGACCCTGGCATGCACATCATCCATGGACCATCTTTTCAAAAAGAATACGATCGGCATTGGTTGCAGCCAGAAGAGACGCCAGTCATCTGGCTGGGTCTTGTCTTCTCCATGATGTGCATCGCACTGCAGTCTTACACTCGGGCTGGGGACGAGCCACCAGAGTACCATAATAAGTCTTGGGAAATGTCAAGAGAGTATGGTGATCTAACTGCGCAGTGTCTGACTTTGGCCGACATCACACAGCCCATTACTGGCATGATGGAGACGTTAATATTACATGTACACGCTGAGTACGCTCGAAGCAGAGACGCCGAAGTAGGCATTCTTATCGGTACTGGCATAATTGTACGGCTGGCCATGCGCATGGGACTTCATCGGGACCCTGGGCCATATCCTGGCATTCCAGTATTCCAAGGCGAGATGCGAAGACGTGTTTGGGCAGTCGTGCGTTCGATCGATTTGCTGTTTTCTGCCCAGGCAGGTCTACCCCCCATTGTCAGACCACGAGACACCAATACGGAGATTCCGAGAAATCTCTACGACGACGAGCTCCATGAAGATATGAAGGTTCTTCCGCCGTCGCGACCCGAGACGGAAGCGACCCCCACTCTTTTCCTCATCAACCGAACCCGTCTCATCTACAAGCTCGGCGAAGCTGTCGAGTGCACGGATACCTTGACCTGCGCATCTTATGACGAGATAATGAGGCTGGATTCAGAGGCTCGTGAATTGCACGAAAACATCTCGCCCCATCTCAAGATGCGCGGCATGGACGAGTCAGCACGAGATCCTTCAACTTTGATCATGCAACGCTTTACACTAGACCTGCTCTTCCTGAAGATCATTTGTGTACTGCATCGGAAGTATCTCGCTTACGGCAGAGTACAGTCGCGATTCTGCTATTCAAGAAAGGCCGTTATTGAAGCATCGTTGATGCTCCTAAAGCACCAAGCAACCCTGCACAGAGAGTGTCAGGCTGGTGGCCGGTTAAGGAACGTGAAATGGTTCATTTCATCACTGACAACTGTCGACTTCCTCCTCGCTGCGATGATTGTATCGTCGGATCTCTACCACACCACGGCACAATCTACTCCTCGGTCTCCATCGACCGATACAATGTGTTGGAGTTCAGATCGGGTTGATGAGATGCTAGACGCGATCGAGATAGCAGTTGGCATTTGGGATGGACTCAAGGACGGCTCCATGGAAGCATACAAAGCGCATGCAACGCTCAGCGTCATGTTGGAACAGCTGAAGAAACATCGAGCGACGAAGCAAGCACCAAATGGATTTCAGGCAGCTTCGTCAACATACCCGATCACACAAATGGAGGACGCAAACGTTGCTCCGGAACATTCAGCAGCGATGACATTGGGCTTACTTAGCACAGGTGGCATGACACCTAATGCGAACATGTTCGATCAACGATACCCAGCAGGCATGGCCAATCTCTTGAACGACCCAGTTTCTCAGCCATCCACAGGCTTGACACCCCAGTACAACCAGTCTATGGGCGGTCCCACAGGGACTGAGAACGTCCCAAGTCCATTTTCCAACTTGTTTGGAGCGAACCTATTCCACAATTTGGACCTACCACCAACCGACAATATAAACTGGGTACGCTAGACTAATCACTGGAGATGTTTACAGTGGCTAACAATCAACAGGACGCATGGGACTCGTACATTCAAGGTCCTGGCATCGAAACTACTAACAACTTTTTCCAAATGGATCTTGGCAACATGCCAATGCAGACGGAGCAGAATGGAGCGCCCACAGGACAGTCGCTCAACCAACAATCTACTGCAGCAGGTCAGACAAACATGTTTGCTCAAGATGTCTACATGGGTGTGAGTATGACCGAGTAGATATTCGTGATTGAGATCAAGCACTAACAGCAGCGTAGGCTGACGCGAAACCGGGGACTGGCGAAGGCTACGTCAGCGGCTTCAGAATGCCAAAATCGACTAATTAAAAACAAAACCAATGTACACGAACTAGCACATTCTTAACGCGCCACGACCTTTGTTGTACAACGTATGTTAGCCTTTTCGTATTCTGTCCAACTAAGCTCATTCGGTGGTTTTTTGTGCGCAAGGGCGGCCGTGGGGGCCAAAATCTTTCCATAGTAGTTAGTAGCTGTATTTAGAAACCCATGTATGGATGTCCAGCTGAGGTTTTGGAAGGAAGGGGGCGCAGCAAATGCTCTTGTGCCCGAATGCTGACTACCTTGTTCTTCATCTCATCAGCCTTTCTTTTCGTGACAAGGCTACTAACCTGCCTTCTTCCACTCTCCTCTTATTTGCTTGTTTCCCAGTTGGAAACGCGCAACTTCCTTAGGTCGCTACGTATCGAGTCTTCTATCCGTGTAGTTCGCATACACACTTCTGTGCCCCGCCCACCTGCTGCGCCACGCTACGCTCCACCCCCGCATCCCACCTTCCCCCCCTACCCATCGGACCCCGAGCATTGCCATCTTGGCTCTTCTCACAACTGCTGCCTACCTCCCTACCCTTTCCATCCACCCTCCCCCCTTCCCACAAACTCAAATTCGAACTCGAGAAATACATATACATCTACATCTGCGCCATCCCTATACCAAACTACCCGTTGGAAAAACGATGGCAACGAGTACATCGCAAGCTTCGCCGACAGTAGTATCGCAAACCACGGCATCGACGCTTGTTCCGAGCGATGCCCCAGCTATCAACGCGCAACCTGTTGAGTTGGATGCTAGTGCGAGTGTGACGCCTGAGGAGGTGAGGAGGCGACGAGGGAGTGAGATTCGTGGGGGCAGTGAGGTATGAGTTTATCCCGTTTTCTCTTTTCTTTCTTAGTTTCTGGGCATAAGCCGTTTTTTTTCTTCATCGGTTCTATCTTTTTTGGTGGCTGGGTGAGGGGGTGTGGGTGGGGGGGGAATGGAAGGGGGGAAAGGAAGAGGCTGACGCGGTGAATTAGAAGAGAGACGAGATTGTTGCGCAGAGAAAAAGGGATCCGGGGGTTATTGTTGATGTGCCGGGGGGATTGACGGCGGAGGAGGTGGAGGCGGTGGGGAAGGTGGTGAGGTAGTTTGTCGTGTAGGGTTTTGATGAAGACTGTGGTGTTGGGTAATAGTACAGTGGGAGATATATTTAATATTTACAATACAGCTCGAGGCTAGGAGGAGGATAGGGAGGGATTTTTTTTATTTACAATCAGTACCCCCATATACAAACTTTCCATCACTGCTATTCTCGCACCCACACGTGCCATCGACAGGACTCCGGATACATCCCATTCCCTCGCCCTCATCCTCACCTTGCACACCCGCTGCGTCCCAGAAAAACGTAAATGTATCTTTACGACTTGCCATTTTGGAACCGGGGGAGCAGTTGTAGGCTTCGCAGGTGCCGTAGGGGGCGCCGTGCGACTTGTCGTATTGGTGGTCGATGGTGAAGACGGCAAAGGTTTGCTTGCCGAGACGCGTGTTGTGGCTGCATTCTGCGGCTTGGATTGCTTTGCTTGTTTTCGCGGCTGGGAGGGGAGTGGGTTAGTTGAATGGTATGAAGGGGTGAGGAAGAGAAGGCGTACGTTTGCAGGCTGGGGCGGCAGGGTATGTAGCGTTCGAGTGGGAAGTTGCTGGGTCGAGGGTTGCTGTTATGCCGGTTGCGAGGGCGAGGAGGGTGAGGAGATTTGGCTTGAACATGGTGTGGATTTTCGTCTTGTTCCTTTTTTTTACTGCGAGATATTGGTGGTTGAATGAGTGTGGTGGTATGGATACAACGAAACGTCGTCGTACTCAAGGTATAAGTACACGACCCCTTGAGCAATGACCCTGCCATTTTCCCCGATCTCTTTTTTATACACATCTCATCAGAAGGGCTGTCATTGATCCACATGGAACCCGCAAACAAGGTGTGCACGTTGCGCAAATGGCATGTTTCGAAACGATGAAACAGCGCTAGACAGGGTGGGGCGGGTGGAGGTTGCGGGTGGAGTGTTTTGATATACGAGCTTCTAGAGCGGTACAAAGATGGCTTGCGTCAGCGTGGTCCCTGCGGATATTACGATGAATTAAGCTTTTTTGATTGGGACAGGGGCATCAACGGAGTTGGGAGCAACCATTGTGCTTACCTACAATAGCAAGGTCGATACCGGCCCGATCCTTACCTTGTAGAGTATACAACCATGTCTTCTCGGTCCTACTCGGCTGTCAAGTAGATCAAATCTAGGCTCTGAGATGTTCAAAGTAAAGGGAAATCAAGTAAGGCATTGAGATGGAGCAAAATCACGTTGCATGGAGAACCTAAGGTTTCGGTAATATGATAGGTCGTTCCCACTTCGTCCCGTGAGTAGAAATGCAGTGCTACGTACTACGTAAGCCAGACCCCGCACAACCAGCCGCCAGCAGTTACACTACTCATACGCAGTCTCTACCTATCTCATATCCCCAACCACCTGCTTAGTGGACATGGCAATCATGCTCAATGAAACACCATCAACAAACCAGGGTCAAGCATTTGGACCTCTACCTCCTGAGCTGCTTCTCAACGTCTTAGACCAGCTCGTGGAAGCATGCAACCATCACCGCCCTGTGATACGCTCACGATTCGACATAATAACCAGGACACTGTACTCGCTCACCTTAGTCTCGCGCAGCGTTCATCCGATAGCTACCGAATATCTTTACTCAAATTGCGTGTGGTTGGATTGTCCAGGGACCTTGGGCCGCTTTTGCTCAACAGCAGGACTAGATCATCAGCATCAAACCACCATACAAAAGACCAGAAAACCCCCGAAACCTACTTTCTTGCGATACATTACCTCGATACACATGTCACCCATAATGACAAGAGACCTATGGCAGGATGATTGGGAAACCTCTATCGGACGACCGGTAATCATCAGCTTACTCAACACTATTGGTTCTAATTTGAAGAGACTGCATCTCAACTTGATTCAGTTCATATTTGATTGGGGAGGTGCAGAAAGCAAAAATATGGCCATCATTGATCGAGACATGTACTCTAATATGTTGCTTCTGGAGGAGTTAATCATCTCCTGCGACATTATTAGCCACTTCCCCAACCCGCCACCGAATATCAAACGACTTGCCATAGCCACTGATCATTTCAGAGATGCAGAGTGGACCTTCTACCGATCTTCGCCATCACTCCAATCACTGGTGCTCTTTTGGCCAGATGGAAGGATAGACAAACACATTGACTCTTTCTTCGATTTGTATGAGGGAAAAAGTCTGGACATCGTTCTTGCTGACTAGTTTGGACATAACAAGACACAGGTCGGGATATGCGGCCGAGAATCAAATGACACGGTGCGGATATGGGAAGCTGATATGCCGTCGGATATGGGAAAGTCATACGACCAATGGATATGGGATCAAGGTGCTGCAGGTACACTGTGGGACCAGAAGCAGCGACTTATGCCATCATTGTCAGATACCAAAGGAGATTAGCTGGGTCAGCACGCAGCATTTTGAATACCACAACATCGCATGGCTAGATAGGTGATGATCATATTCAACAAGTTGTGTGCGAAGCCCCCTGCTATACTTGCCTCGTCACCAGTCGCAAACAACCACTGGACATCCTCTGCTTCAAGGTATCCCTCTCCAACGATTGTCGCATATTAAGCTCAAGCTCACCAATGTCCCATTCGGCACGCAAACTATTACCCCTTAGTAGATCCGCTCTCCCGCCACCCAACCAAACAGAAAATAAGCCGACCAACTCTGGATTACATATCTCGAAATGACTGTGTGTGAGTCTTGTCCGTCTCACGTGCATCGGCCCTGAATCCAGCGAAAATGCTTTCATCATTGGATACTCAAAGGCCAGAAACTCTAAAAGTCGGTGGTCGATCTGTTGGGCGAAGTCATGCGACGAGACCCCAGGACCGACGCAGAAATTTGCGCCTGAAGTTATTGAGATGAAAGTACCGGTCGGAGACGGACCAAATGTGCGAAGATACTGGTGGGCAGTGAGATGTGTACTGCGAAAGTTTGTCATCACATCAGCCCACCACAAGCCGTTCTCATCGGTTGTGTCCGAGTTGTCAAGATGTGTAGTACCGACATTCGCAATTGTTACATCCAATCTACCAAGGATATCTTTTGTAGCTGAGAAGAAGTTGTTGACGTCGAATGAACTTGTAGTATCGCAAGTCATGGCGATGATTGGGATGTTGGAGTTGATGCGTCTAATCTCGTCTGCGACAAATTCGAGGTCCTCTGCGTTGAGGCTGCTGATTGCGATTCCGGCGGCCTTTGCTTTGGCCCATGATATCGCAATTTCTCGGCCGATTCCGTGCGAAGCATTGGTGATGAGGGCGTATTTCCCGGCTGCGCTGCGCTGTACTGCTTCGAGGGCCGGGTACGGTTCTCGGTGGCAGACCATCGTCGGATGAGCTGTCAGCCCTAGCAAACCAGAATGTAAGTATCTCGTATCCATGGCTCGTCGAGATGTTCCACAAAATAACTATCAGCGGCGTCAAAAGATTGGAAAGCAAAGCGGAATCTCAGCATCCCACTTTCCTTTACGTTCGCGCACATTATATCTCACGCCTGCCTCTCCGGTGCTAATAGTCCAGTCAGCACTTGCTCCCGGATTGATCTACACCACAGTAAGCCCTGCAGCAATAGAACATACCCAAAGCAACTATTGTCATTCCTTCTCACCCTGACCAACAGGGCGCCTGACAAGCAACCCTGCAGGCCAGCAACCTCAAAGGCAACAATCAATGAGCCGTCCCCGCAGCTCTAAAGCTCAGGCACAAATCTCACACTCCCAAAGCGCCATTTCTCCACGAAAGATGTGCGTCCAACTCGCTGCAACACACCACTCCACATCTCACGTCGCCCTACCCAATCACAGAATAGAACTGCACGGCGCCACTGCAGTTGGAAGCCACGGACTTAATCAACAACCAACAAGGGAAGCCTGGGGCATTGATGAATGAGAACCAATGGATTTTCGGGTGTTTGGCCCTGGGGGGATTGCGTGCAGCTGGGTATGCAGCCACAATGGGGCTGAGAGGGGAGGGGCGAGATGGCAGGGGTGTGTTCGGCGAAATATGGCCGGGTGAGGAAGGTTGCGGGGAGAAGGAATGATTATGGAAAACAAGGAAAAATAGTTACTTGTACGTGCTGTGCTTTGGTTAGGCTTGTGTAGCGAGTGGTAATGACGTGTTGTAGGAGAGATGGTCTAGTAAGTCTAGCTTATTTGATAGGAGAGGTATGTGTTGTGTTGATTGGACGCGATTAGTTTGGATCCGATCTTAGATTCTCGGAAGCTCTTAGTAGAGAATAACGTGGCTCTGATATTTGGCGATTACCAGAAAATTAGAATGTACGAAAACCCCTCTTCTGCTGAATTTGCCTACTCTATTTTCTTTTTACGGATCCAGCCAACCGCACATCGTCATGTTGCCCTGATATCCCATATTATCGTAATGATAAATACTGTTCACCGAGCTCATTTCCCTGCATTTCTTTTGCTCTGGACTACTCCAATGCGAGCCTAGAAGCTAGTCTCACTCCATATACGTATATACGCTGCTTCTGTTCTATGTGGAGCTATGATTTGATGCAAAGATCAATTGAGCTTTGATCACTAGGAGTTGTTTTCTTCAAGTTTTCCATAATTACAAATACGTGTGTAGATTCTGTTATGATACCCTCTATGAGCCTGAAAATTTTAGCCCGCAATAATAGTAGCCAAAAGACCTGGGATACAAGCATGCAGATTCTAAGACGTACTAAATTATGATGTGAGAGCATTTCGCAGTACGTGTTCTGTTCTGTACGAGAGATGTTCTTGGTTCTGTCACAAGTGATACTGCTCAGGTTGAAAAACATGAAGAAGTGTTACTTAGGTGTTGTACAACTGTAAAAAATAGCAAGTCACTGAGGACAACGTTTAGCATCAAGATTAATCATTATCCGATTTCTAAGATTTTCGCAATATAAGGTGCCTAAGGTTCAGTACTGAACAAGCTTGCTGAACCTTTCTCCTCCATTAACTACTGTATTTTTTTCAGAAATATCCTTGTGGCTATTTACTCGATGTATAGCCTATTTAAGTTGATACATCTAATCTTATGTAAGAAAAAAGCGAGCGTATATCTCAAGTCTAGCGTACTGGGTTGATGTTTCCTAAGAAAGATAGTAGGCTGCTCCCAGATCTGCCAGGTTACAAACAAACGCAGAATCCGAGATATCATATAACTTAGAATATCGAACTTGATACTGATTTAATCGATGTCAGTACAACAAGAGTATAGGAAGCGATCGCGCTACAAATACCTCTGCCTCTCGCCATTACAAATTCTTGCTCAACGTCAGCATCTTCACTCATGGGCATTGACGAAAATAAACATCGAAGCAAAATACTACTCTTAAGCTTCGGCTAGGAGCTTCGATATACATGCTATGGCCACGGGTTGTGTCACTAATTTCTGAGGAAGTAACAAAATTTACAAGTAATAATGATAAACCTGTTGAGATTTGCTCAAACTACATTGATTGGAAACGCCACAAAACAAAGCTACTTAAAAGGGTATATACAAAAAGAATTCCAAGGCTTCGACCGCCATTCAATGTACCATAGTTTTTCCAATTTCGCTTTCCCAATTCTCTGCTCTCTCAAACCCATTGGAGTGAGTCTGATAGTCCATCATAGCCTGCACTACCTCGTCTCTCGAGGTAACAACGAATGGGCCGTATTGCACAATGGGTTGATCCAATGGCAACCCAGCAACCAGCACAAATCTTGATTCTTTCTCGGCGCCCTCCTCGACTGATATTTCGACACTGTCGCCGTTACTCTCAAAGACGACATTGTTGTACTGTTCGATGGGTCGGGAAACGCCGTCGGATGAGACTATGATTGTGCCGTTGAGTACGTAGGCAAACGCGTTCCAGCCTTTGGGTAGCGGTTGCTTAACTTTGCCACCAGGTTGTACAGTAAAGTCCAGCAACCAGACGGGTGTGTAGGCCAGCTCCTTGAGGCTCTCTACGCCATAAGCCTGGCCACTAATGACCCTGACTTTCACCCTGCCGTCGTCTGCCGTCGCCTGAGGTATTTCCTTGGCACGGAGATCTCGATATCTCGGCTCGCATGACTTCAACTCTTTAGGAAGATCAATCCATAGCTGCATGCCAACGTTCGGAGCACCGTCTTTGTTCTGGCGGGGCATCTCGGCGTGTACAATACCGCGTCCTGCGGTCATAAACTGCAAATCCCCTTCTTCGATGGTACCCTTATTTCCTGCAAAGTCTTCATGATCCACTGCTCCAGACAGCAAATACGTAACCGTCTCCTGGCCACGATGCGGGTGATCAGGGAAGCCTGCGCCTGGGGGAATGGCGAAATGATCAAGCATCAAAAAAGGGGAAAAATTTCGAAGTTTGGGCGTGCCGACACTCCTCCTCACTTTGGCGCCGGCACCCTCGGACTGCTCGATTGCGAGGAACGATTTAGCAATCTTGCGAGGCGCATTGGTCGTATAGACCTCGTCAGGTATGACGGGGAGGCCGCGAAACATGGTAGACGACATATTTTGGGTAGGGATGCGAAATGGATTCGTGATGTTTGTGAAGGTCGTAACGTGTCTAAGAGAGCTCGTTACTCGTGAGAGCATGTACTCGTTGTTGTAGATAGCAAGTGTGATGGCGACAATTGCGAAAAAGATGGATGTGAGGGTCTTCATGGTGCCGGGGGACGCGCTATATAGCGGAGGCGACAAGGGCGACTAGAATCTTCGGACGCGCATTCGATGCGCGTGTGAGTGGATGACATGGTGGACTGGGTGGCTTAGTTGATGTTTAGCAACCAGCGATGGTTCTGCTGTCGCTTGGCAGGCGTCGATGCTTTGTCGAATATGACCAAGCAATGCGAAATCATGGTGGGGCACTTTTTCGGGACGTGCAGCTCCCGATGGCCAATCGGAACCGACACCATTGCGGAACGCCCCCGCCATGCCTCAACACCTTGCTTTTACTCTATCCCCACCATTTCCCCTGTCGTAACGTCGCAGTGGCCATGGCAAGGGATCTCATCTTTGTGTTGATCAAAATGGTTGCGTGATGCATCTCGGTATTCACTAAAAACTCCAAATACAGGGTAGGAAATACTACAATAAATGCTGATAGTTCAACTATCTGTGATAGCTTTGAGCAACATTATGCATGGACTTGAATTTCAGAAAAGAAACGAAAAAAAGAAATCTCATCATAGATGATAACCTTCATTTCAAACTGAGTTGTTCCTTGAGAAATACGAACCGCGAGTCTCTCAGGCGCCCTTCTTCCTTGCCAACAGTTGACTTTGGATCACGCTGTTGAATGCTAGTACATTTTTGAGATAAATTGTTCTGACCTCGTTCGTGAGGCTGATGCGCAGTCGCAAAGTCAAGTCAAAGAGAAAGACTTGACTGAAGAAGTTGGGTATGGTGGGCGTTGACAAGAAGAAGTGACGTCATCTCCGCAGTTTGCCATAGTACGTGGACACAAAGGTAGTAGTTCTCGTTGTCTTAATTCTCGATTGACTAAGAAGATCCGAACTAACCTGTTTTGCCCCAGATTTGATCCAGAGCTCTTTTGCAAAACGTTTTTGCAAGTCTTGATTTCCGGGCATTTCACATTAAGAATCTAGAGGTTGCAAGTAGAGCAGATTGCTTCACAAGTCAAGAACAACTTGTCCCCACAAACTTGAACACTACACATGAAGCCTTGTTATTAATATTTCTATGTTTTCAGACTGTTATCTAGTGAGTAAAGCTTCCAAGGGAGTGAAATACATACATCAGCTGCTCCTTCGTATAAAGAGCAGTGATCCCATCATAGCACTTGAGTCACTGTCATCACAAGCTATTTCGCTTGGAAAGAGGATTTAGTATTGTGTATTGATAGAGGTAGGAAGTTGCTGAGAAGCAGCAGACTGGGCTCCAATATCCAAGTGACGAGGCTTGGCCGCCTCAGCCTTACAAGTTCACCGCCGGACAATCTCATCTCTGGAGCCAAGTCTGTTTTCTTGAAGTTGGTAATCAAATCGCATAAGATTCATCTACAACAAGTTTCTAGGACATCCAATATTCGGGCGACTCACATGATTGTGCAGTGTGTATCACCATCACGTGATACTCTCGTGTGTAACACCTAGGTTCACGCCGTCCCATTCAGCATTAGCAATCTCTCATGAACGAACAGTTTTCGTATTGCCAGTGCACCCTGTCATCAATAGGTGTGGTCATAATACATTTTCAATCATACATAACCTTCTGCTGGCTCAGTGGCTGTATGGGGAAGGTGTCAGCCTTGTCGTGCCCCGCACTCTCTATCGCGGTTGCCTTGTGATGTTCAGCCTGCTCAATTTGTTCTTTCTACCATCTCTCGACTTCTCAAGCACAATATATTACCTAGCATCTTCATTCGAGTCACTTGTAGTTGTTGTATTCCCTCACAGAGTTATATCAGCAATACCATCGGATACCCCGTCGAACCTCTCCGCCATTCGCTTAAACGAACGATTAATCTTGAAGTTCATATCGCCACGCTTAATGCTCTGTAGCTTTGTGCTACATCACCTCTTGGTCATACCCAACAGCGATGAGGCTACTCAATACCAAAACACTTGAACTAACTTCTTTCATTGGTCAAATACCGGACTACGTTATCTTGTCCCACAGATGGGAGGAAGGAGAGATAGTCTTCGGTGATGTTTCCAAAGTCCCTCTCAGCAACCGAACCAACCCAGCTAGAACGAAGCGAGGTTTTGCCAAAGTTGTAGGCACTTGTACCCTCGCAAACAAAGACGGCTTCGAATGGGTCTGGATTGATACCTGTTGTATCGATAAGTCCAGTTCAGCGGAATTGCAAGAGTCAGTTAACTCAATGTTTCGATGGTATCAACGAGCACAGATTTGTTACGCATATCTCAGTGATGTTGCAGACGAATCTTCTGGCTGGGGTGAAGCGTTCAATAGAAGCTTGTGGTTCACTCGCGGATGGACACTACAAGAACTGCTGGCTCCTTACACTGTAGAGTTCTATTCGGCAGACTGGAAACCCATAGGAACCAAGTTTTGCCGATCCAAACAAGTCGCCTCAATCACAGGAATCGAAGTTACGGTTCTAGAGTCTGACTGGGTGACTACAGAAGACAAATTGTGTGCTGCACAAAAGTTGTCCTGGGCTGCACACCGACACGTATCCAAGGTGGAAGACAAATCATATTGCCTGTTTGGACTCTTCAATGTAAATTTGCCGCTCTTATATGGCGAAGGTGAAGTCAAGGCATTCCGGAGACTGCAGCAGTCTATTTTTGAGGAAAGCGCCGACCATAGTCTTTTCTTATTCACCCGGAGCCGTTCTCGTACCAACACACCAATGCTGGCGGATTCGATCCAGAGATTCTGCACAAATAACACTTGTGGTGTGTGCAAAAACCATGCGCAATGCTTTTCTTCAGAAATAATACGCTACTCAGAGATTGTCTCAAATCGAAGTCTTTGGCCAGCCGGTTTGCAAGATGCCCATTATATCCAGCTATTGAGGCACAGTGTTATGATCAAGCTGCCTTTAGTGCAGTACAATAGTCTTCGCAGGGAAGAGCGAAACTCCCACAATGTACACCGTCCATCTCAGACAGTCATCGCCATATTGCCTTTGTCACCACGGCGCGATAAACATTCACTTTTTGGGATTTTACTTCAACAGATATCTTTGGCAAGTTACGTACGCTTGTCAGAGAAACCTCTCCTTCTGCAAGAGGATATGATTGGGGCGGACCCCGCAGAGCTAGGAGCCTACACTGTTCACGATACCCACCCCAATCTTGGCATAGATTCGATCGGAAAGATTATCCCTGATTATATCAACCTGAATTGGCTTGAGCAGTACGTGAAAATAAAACTCCATAGCGCCACTATAACAGCAGAAGAGTGGCATGGCAACACTCAAGGTTATCCCGCTAGAGCATGTATTGGTACTACAGCGCAATTCCCGCTACCAAGCCATCTCCAAAATCATTTCTCAGTTACAGTTTCCTTCCGAAGTGTCAGAGGTCCAAGGTTGTCTGGAACGATCATCTTAGGCAACTCCGTCACCCAGATGGAGTTGCTCGAGATAAGACTGTCTGAGGGCCCGAATGTTGATTATCATTTTCTGAAGCGAAACAATCAGAATCAACGCCATATGAGGGTTTGTGCTCCAATACCCAACACGAACGATTCCCTCGATATCGCTCTTCGCAAGCTCCCAGTCACCGAAGTTGAGTTTTCAAAAGGAGAAAATTCCAAAAAGTCTTCGCGAATCGACCCTGCGTCTACTGTGTGGTGTGACTTTGGTATCCTAAGATACCAATATCGCTTAGATATCAATCGTTTGTCGGCAAAGAATACAAGTCAAATGAGCTCCTCACAGCCGGGTCTAGGTAGATCCAGGATATAGATTGATTGGTCATTCTACCCCCCTAGGTAGAGAGCTACCACGACTAGTCTACTGTGCAATACTAAATCTTGATACCTGTTTCATCTACTCTCCCTCACCCTAACCCACTCAACACAGCCACTCCAACACCCCCAACAACCTTTGAGCACTCAATTCCCCCACCTTGATCAACACCAGCACTTTACTCCATACATCAGGTATTACAAAACTCCAGAAGTCCAAAAAAAAGAGGAAAAGAAACAGCCACGATGTAGACTTTTGGAAAATGGTGATAGATTTCTCCTTCTCATCGGACTAATATCTCGAAATGCCATGTAAATATACGCCTACCAATGCACTCCCCCACCATATACATACGTCCTCATACATCAATGATACACAAACCTTTTTAAAAAAAACGATCCCTCTTAAAGGAAAAAAAAGGGGGAAAGAAAGAAACAGAGCTTAAACACTTAAGGCCGCCGGCACCAGAACCTCGTTAGCCTGCGCAATCCCCGCCTCCGGTTCGACCTCAGCAGTCGATTCTGGCACTTTAACCCTCTTAGCCTCCGGTTCCTCGCCCTCCCTCTCCTTCCTCTTCTCCCCCTGCTCCTTAACCTCTCCCTCAGGCCTAGTCGCCTCCTTAACCCTCGCACGCTTCGACGCTCTAGACTCCTGAATCGGAATGCCCAAGTGCTCGTCCACTTTCTGCGCCTGAAGCAGCAAATCATCTACTTTGTCAAGTCCTAGAGCTTTAATAACATCGGTGTAGCACTTTGACTTATTCATGGCCGCATATGCTTTTTCTTTGCCAGGAATCATTTGGCCGAGGAGGTACTTTGTGTTGCCCCATCTGTTAGCGACTTGGAGGGCAAAGCGCATGTACTCTGTGACTACGGTTTTCCACTGGGAGCGCCATTCGTGGGGCCCACCTTCTGCGTCGGGACGGAAGCAGCTGGGATTTTTCTCGGCTTCAGTGGCGATCATGGCGCCGTCGACGGAGAATTCTTGCATTAGTTTTAAGGCTTCGGTGCGCGAGGTTACGTCGCCGTTCATGACGCAGGCGACACCGGCTTCTCTGCAGATTTCGCCGATCATCTTGAGTTGGTCGCGGATTGCTCGCTCTCGTGGTCGCATGGGCGTGGTGCGGCAGTGGACGGTAAGACCGGTGATGCCAGTACGGACGAGGCGCTTCACCAGGGCGGCGGTGTCTTCGGGCTGGTCGAGGATACGGATCTTGACGCTGATGCCAATCTCGAATGGCTTGCCCACCTCTTCGACGAGCCTTGTGAGGATGTCACAGAGCAGATCTGGTGTTCTCAGAAGCGCTGCGCCCATTCCACCAGAGGTGGAGAATGGCTTGGGGCAGCCTGAATTGACATCGATCCCGGCGACATCTGCTGCGACAATCTTGGCCGCCTGAACTGCGAGCTCAGGATTCGCCGTACCAATTTGGTAGATGAGCTTGCCCTTCTCCAACTCGGGATGTATGCGGTATATGACGCTCTCACGGAGGTCGGGGTCGAGGGTCGGGTTCTTGATCTTGGACGTAGGCAGGCGTGTGAACTCGAGAGTCGATGTGTGCGGGTTGAAGCGCCTTGTGGTACCGATGATGGCGCGATCAATTGTCTCTGGACCCCATACCAGGTCTGCGCCGTACTTGAGGGCCAGCAGTCGTGAGGGCAATTCACCGGAGCGCACCATTGGCGCAAGCACTACTTTGCCGCGGTAGTCGACGCCATTCTTGGGGATGGGCACGCGTACGGGCTCGGGGGAGGCCATGGCTCGTGTTATTGTTCGCAGGAAGGTTCGGAGCATAACATGCCTTAAAAAGAACGAGCTTTCACAAGGCCGAGTGCGAGGGTGGGGGATTTGACGGCCGGCGGCGATCTGTACGGCGTAAAAGTTGGGCGCAGGGACCAGGGCCGAGGGGCGATTAGTGCCACAAAACTTATCGATTGCGGGTGCATGGAGCAGCAGTAGAATAGAGTAGTACATCACAAGCCAAGTATGCACCCATTTTGAAATATATCAGTTGCCAAACAGAAAAGTATTAGATAGATTTTTGCTTTCCAAAGCACTCCAACTATAGCTTCGACTTGGCAGCCTCGGGATCTGCCACCTTTACCAGAATTTTGCCTATAATTGTCAGTCTCCAAGTCCGTATGCATCCAGCTGGCAAAAAACAAAACATACCTGTGTTCTTGCCCTCAAACAGTCCAACCAGCGCTTCTTCAGCCTTGGTAATTCCGCCATCATAAATAGTCTCCTTGCGCTTGATCTTGCCCTCCGACAACCATTGTGCCAGCTCCTTCCTGGCCTCAGCGAATTTGTCCGCATAGTCGAAAATAACGAAACCCTGCATACGAATACGCATCGAGATGATCATCATGTAGTTCTAACACGCAGTTAGCACCGTCCCAAGCCCTCCCCCGAAATTCTATCAACGTACCTTGAGTCCGGCCGGCTTCTTGTTGTTGTAATCAGAAATAGCACCGCAAATGACAAATCTCGCATGCGGCTTCGCACGACTCAACGCCAAGTCGAGAATCTCCCCGCCAACATTATCAAAGAAAAGATCAATAAGTCCCTTGGTCGCAGCGCGGAACTTCTTCACAAAATCCGGGTCCTTGTAGTTGAGCGCCTCGTCGAATCCAAGCGTGTCCTTAAGCCACGCAACTTTACTGTCCTCGCCCGCAAGCCCTAGAACCTTTGCGCCCTTGAGCTTAGCAATTTGACCCACTACGCTTCCCGTTGCGCCCGCAGCTCCGCTCACAACAACAAAGTCTCCTGGCTTAACCTGACCGACGTCAAGGAGACCAAAGTACGCCGTTAGTCCTGTCATTCCAAGGACACCCAGTGCATCCGTTGGTACGGCGCCTTCGGGAAGGTCTAGGGACTCAACGTCCTTTCCTGGAATAATGGCGTATTCGGCCCAGCCGCACATGGCTTTTGCGTAGGTGCCGACGGGGAATTTTGGATTTTTGCTGGCGACGATGAGGCCGATGCCCTGTCCACGCATTACGGCATCGATCTGTACGGGAGGGATGTAGGAGCGTGTGGGATTGAGCCAGCCGCGCATGGCGGGGTCAATGGAGAGGTACAGGGTTTGGAAGAGGACTTCGCCATCTTTGAGCGAGGAGGCCGAGGGGACCGGGTGAGACTTGGGTGTGAAGGTTTTGCCAGCTACGATGCCGTCCGTAGGTCGCTCGGCGAGGTGGACTGATGTGTATGAAGGCATTTTGGCTTTGATATCAAAGAGAAAGGATTAGAGGAGAGAAGATCGGGATGCGTATCGATTATGTAGTACCAAGCTTCCGAGGTTGAGATCTGCACCGCGTAGCTATCACAGCAAACGTGTCAATAAAAAAGGACAAAAGCAATGGTGAGACAATAAGAGAGGATCCCAAGGTACGGGTCGCCCGCCATTTTGTTTGTATGCAGTCTGGTATCCGCACGGATTAGGCCGGACCAGCCACATTGGAGCTGGTATGCAGAGCATTGCGGAGAAAGGTGCCGAGGTTCGGATGGGAACTTCCTATTGCGGACGCCGGGGTAGGTGCGCCGGTTGGCGCTGACGCTTAAGCGCCGCGGCTATCAGGTAATCACATTGCTGTCTGCATATAGAAGGCCCGAAGAAAGAGTTCCTACGAATACAATGGGCGTGGTGGAGAAGAAGTACTGGGGTTTAGGAATGCAAGATGCGGTGTGTTGGATTATCCTACAGATTGAACTGCTACGTGCATGATAGCAAGTCCACATCGGAATTCTGGGAACATGCATGGTATATGGACATTCAGCGACATTATGTTTTGGAATAACCAAAAAAAGTCGTCATTCCTCAGCTTCCTCCTCCATCTCAACGTCTCCCTCTTCGCCTTCTTCTCCGCCTTCGGCCCACCACAGTGTCGGACCAAGACCTGGTTGAGCCATGGAACCCTAAACACATAATTAGACGTCTGCTTACTTGATAGGTCTTCATGTACTTACAATCACTCTCCAGGCCGTGGGTCTCTCTTCAATGATCTCGCCCTTTTCATCTTTTTCTATAATCGTCGGCCGCTGATCAAACCACTCTTCGTGCTCTACCCTGAACAGCACCGGCTCTCCCTTGTCAAAGAAGAGCTCTGTTCCCTCCGAGTTCCACACCCATACATTCTCTGCTTGCGAAAATGACGAGTTCTCTGGGAGATTCTGATACGGTATAAAGATCTCTGAAGTGAATTCCAGATCAATGATGATGCCCTCTTGGTTCGAAGTCTTTATGCGCCCATAGATAATCTCGCCGCGAAAAGGGCGGAACACAGTCATGCGAAACTCGACTGCATTTGGTGTGAGTATGGGGAGATTAGCAGGCGAGTGGTGACGGACCATTGACATTTACAAGTCCAGTTCCGTGGCCGATGAGACCCTCTGAAGCCGAGAGTAAATCCCACATACAGATACAGAGGCCAATATTGGGAATGATCCTGTTGCTATACTTATCGTTGATGACATCCTTGATGGCTTGCGCGCTAGGCTTCTCAAAGTCCTGCGGCTTGATTTGGATCAAGTCTTGAATCGTGGTCTAGGGGTAAGTTAGCGTTTTCCTATGAAAATACACCCGTAGCAGCTACGTAAGTTGAACAAGGGTAACATGTGATTGTGAAGGTAATAATGCTTTGAAATTTTCTACACTCCATAGTAGGCATATCTCAGGTTCTAGGGGCACGGTCCGAGCTGAACTTGACTTACGAGTATAAACATGTTTGCAACTTTGGAGGCTTCATGGATTTCGGTGTAGTAAGCGCTCGTCACCTATACATTGTGATTGAGTTGTGAGAGTCAAGAATCAGAGGCGCAACTTGCGCAATGATTAGCGTTGAGCTAGCGCTATCGATAACAACTTTTTGGATTGTCGTCGGACCCCCGAGGCGCGTCTCATCTCCTGCCGTAACCAACTTTTCATTTTTCCTCACCAACTTCATTGCGCTTTCCCTTTCAGCGATAATATACCCAGCGGAATGAATCAGATATAGTGCTTTTAATCAAAAACCTCCAGTTTGCAATAATGTCGTTCAAATTTCCACCGCCTCCGCCACCACCGCCCAAGGCTACGTCAAACGAGCAACCATACCCAAGCCAACGAGAAAGCCACAACCGAGGAGGAGGCGAGAGAGGTCGCGGAAGAGGAGGAAACCATAACAGAGGTGGTGGCTTTCATAACGCTTCCGGGAACTCACGAGGCGGACATGGACAGAATCGTGGGCGAGGAGATGCGCGTGGTAGAGGCCAAAGGGGAGGTTATCAAAACAACAGAGGGGGTGGATTCCACAGGAACGATACCAGGGATGGCCTTGGAAATGACCATAGCAATGCGCCGCAGAATGCCACCTCACTGGAAGCACATGCCAACCCCCAGTCTTCACCATCCGCATACAGCCAGCCCGGTGCTCAGTATTCTCCGCCCAAGCATGCAGGCCAGAAGCGAAAATTAAACGACCGTAACGGTAATGCACAGTCACAAAGGAACTCCCAGCAACACAGCTCGAAACCGCCCCGAGCCAAGGCTGCCGTGCCACCACAGGTACCCAGCTTTGGCTTTTCGCTGCCGCTGCCCTCGATCCCGAAACCCGACCACAAGAAGCGCAAGATCGCTCTTGGGCTCTCGCAAAAAGTCGAGCAAGATGAAAGTAGTGGTGAAGAGGACATTGACGAAGAGGCGGCATTTTCTGAGAAACTCAAGGGTGGGGGCTTCGCTTTTGAGCATGAAGGAGAGACCATCACAATACAAACAGGCGCTGAAGTCGCAGCATGGATCAGGGATCGCAGAAAAAACTTTCCAACACAGCAGAGGATCATGGAAAAGCAGGATGAGGCCGCGCGGAAACGGTCAGCAGAGCTCGAGTTTTTGCGCAGGATGAAAGGGAAGCCACCAAAAGAGAACGAGCCAGTGACACACATTCAAAAACAACCAAACAAGGACCGCCGTGAAGCAAAAAATGATGGCACAAAACAAGAGGCGGAAACAAAGAGACAAGAGGAGCTGGCTACGTTGCGCAAAAGGTTGCACGAGAGCATGGTGAAGAAACAGTCGACACCAGCGACGGTAGACCTTGGGCTGGGATACGATAGCGAGACAGAGTCGGACGAGGAGAGCTCGGTTCTCTCTGAGTCGTCAGTCGTGTCCAGTTCGGAAGAATCAGAATCTGATTCCGGTTCTGATTCAGAGAGCGACGACGAGGCACCAGAAACTGCGTCATCAAAAACTGCTCCACCGCCAATAAAAGTTCCACCCCCTCGGCCTGCGTCGGCGCGAACAGAAACAAAGAGCAACAAAATGTGCACGAATTGGAAGCGAAACGGAAGGTGTCCATACTTGAGCAAATGCAAATACCAGCACCCACCCAAGGACGAGGATAATAAGCTTAAGGGGTTGTATGAGCGCATGGTGGAGCAGGAGCTTGTCAAGGCGGACCAGCTAGCGCTGGATGCAATCAAATACCTGGGGCAGAATGGATTCTTGGGATGAGCATGTGAAAGGTGTCTGGCGTTTGATACTATTCTCCAATGACATAGGTACATCCTTGGCTGCCAACCCAAACTTCATGCACCTTTTGTGCATCGACATCCCAACGCGCGCCAGGACCGACGGTTTCCTTCTTGGCATCAGGCTCGTCAGGGTAGGTGTACGTCAGGGAGCCGTCCAGGACAAGATGTGCGGTTTTGCCGCTGTGCTTGTGCGACGGGTAGTGAGCATTGCTACGCGGTGGTCAAACAGACGTAATATATGTAGGGAGACGGTAATGCAAACTTACGGGCCATCTGTCCACGTGAAGACATGGCCAAAGCCCCACGACCGAACTTCGCTCTCTGCTTCTTTCCGTGACCGTGCCATTGCGGATGTGCTATGTATAGTAAGTGTTGAGTGGGACGAATAAGATGGAGGTTTCGAAACGGTTGTTGGACCCTGACAGCCTGCGTGACGTCGATGGAGCTTGGCAAGGCGGGTGCGGGATGGCAGCGATCAACGCAAACAGGGCATCGTTCCTCATCCACAAGCAAATGGCTTGATGCAGTATTTCCATGTCCAATGCCGCGTGGCATTTATCCATGGGTTCACGCCCTTGTCTTGCGCCCCACCAGCTGGATCATCAAACGCCGATGCGGCAGCCAAGGCAGGCTCGAGCTGGAATATGAGGAGGCCATTGCATCCATGCCTACTACATGACCACCTGCCTCTCCTCTCTTCTTAGATACTTCTGCCGCACTCAAATCTCCTAGACGCCCAAATTGTCGGTTGCATTGCAGTAGACGAGCATCAATCCTCTCCAAGGTATGTTGCGCACGATTCAGGGAGCACGCAAACACATACTTGAAAGGGAAGCGCTGACATCGTTGGAGACAGCTGAGCTTCCTGCATTCCTGCAGTCAGCATTCCTCCCACAATTCGCCGGTCCTGGATAACTAGGCACCACCGTCGCCTTGCGCCTCTGCTTCTAGTCTTTCTCCAATTGTTCCTTTTAGTTTCCTACCCTCCCATCCACACGCCTGGTGTTGCTGCCCCCCAACACCCCCACGATGCCGGACCCCTCCAAGGATAGCAAGCTGGGTACGCCCAAGCTCGACAACCCCCAGCTCCAGGCTGGAGGAGGAACAGCTGCCGTCGCCCCCAAAGCTCGTACCCTTGATGACCTGTCAAACCTCCAGAGCTACCTCCGAATCGTATACAACGAGATCCTGGGCCGTTACAATCTGCAGACCAAGGACGGACAATTGAGCTGGCTCAAGGAGCAGAATGGCCCTGGCAAAGACTTCGAAACCGCAGTAGACAGCCACCTAGAGCTCCTGGGCGACGGCTCGTTTCCCTCTTTTGCCAACTACTTTGCCTCAGGACTAGGCAACGTGATGAAGCCTGCACCACCTCTAGATGAATCGCACCCGATTTCCAACTACTTCATCTCCTCGAGCCACAACACATACCTCACCGGTAACCAACTCTCGAGCGACTCGAGTGTCGACGCCTACAAAAACGTCCTCATGCGAGGTTGTCGCTGCGTGGAGGTGGACGTTTGGGACGGTGATGAGCTCTCCGACTCAAGTTCAGATGAAGAAGCCGCTAGAGGTAATCCTGGTGCCGATGAAGCGAGGAAGGAGAAGAAGAAATCCAAGACTGGTCTGAGCATCCGCAAACGCCTGGGCTTGAAATTCGGCAAGGACAAGTCAGACGAGGAAAAAGTCGAGACACCTTCACCGCCGCCGCCTCAAAACAACGCGCAAAAGATCGAGCCCTGGCACTCTGCTTCATACACTTCCCGAGCGGAACCAAAAGTGTTTCACGGCTACACTTTGACCAGTGAGATGACCTTTCGATCTGTTTGTGCAACCATCAAAGAATATGCGTTTGCAGTATCCAATCTACCCCTCATTGTCAGTCTGGAAGTACACTGTGGTCCTGAGCAACAGGAGATCATGGTCGAGCTCATGCAAGAGTACTGGAAGGGTATGATGCTTGAAGAGCCATTGGATCCAACCCAGAGCTTAGACACGGTCGGTTTGCCTGCACTCAAGGAACTGGAAAACAAGATTCTCGTCAAGGTCAAGCGTGGTCATCCCAAGGTATCTCCTCCCGAGTCACAGGTTCCTGCAGTTGGTGGGTCAGTGCCACCGTTAGAACACACTGCAAGCTTGGACTCTGTAAACTCAGAAGATGAATTTGGGCCAGACGGCGAGAAGAAGCCGCCAGCGCCAAAGCCCAAGGTCATAGAGTCTTTGGCACGACTGGGTGTATATTTTGGTGGCTACTCATTCAAGGGCTTAGACACTCCCGAGGCGAAGATACCTACCCACATTTTCTCACTTTCAGAAAGCACACTGATGGATCTTCACGAGAGCAACCCTACAGGACTTTTCGATCACAACAAGCACTACTTTATGCGCGCGTATCCAAAAGGCCTCCGGCTGACGTCTTCAAACCTTAACCCCTCCGTCTTTTGGCGTGCGGGAGTCCAGATTGTAGCTCTCAACTGGCAACGCTGGGACGGTGGAATGATGCAGAACGAGGCCATGTTTGCAGGTACTCCTGGGTGGGTCCTCAAGCCAGAGGGATATCGCAGCACAAGCACTGCCGCAACACAAAAGACAGCCATCCCCCACCAGGATATGGATCTAAGCATCGAGTTCATTGCCGGACAGAACATTCCTTTACCTCCAGAAGAAGACGACCCCAAAGACTTTAAGCCATATGTCAAGGTCGAGCTACACGTCGAGTCGTACGAAGAGCGCAATGCCGAACCCATACAAGGCAATGGAAGGAGCCAAAAGGGTGAATACAAAGACAAGACCAAGACGGCCAGGACCCCGAATCCCGACTTTGGTCGCGAAGTCATCAAATTCACTGGCGTACAGGGCGTCACGGACGAATTGACTTTTGTCAGGTGAGTTTATTTTTTCTTTTCCCGCTACGTGTACACATCGCTACGGGTGACACGCATCGCCTTTGCGCATACCGACCCAGGCCCGACCTATCGCACAAGACGTCCCTGCATGAGTATCCAGGCCTGATCTGGTATTCGGTGCGCTTGTGAGCTACGTAGGCACGGCCTGATGGTTTCACGGGCGCTGAAGTGGATGTGGAGATAACGGTCGTGGTATATTGCTGGGACCCAATCTGCCAAGCTGCAGAGTGCCGTGATTCCGGTATCAGGCCTCGTCATTTCCTTCGCTATGACAGCGCTTTTGTTGTGCCTTGCTCGGCTCGTGCAACGAAGCCTGATTCGATGCAGGAAATCAAGCACTAATCGCTGTGGCACAATTGATGTCATCGTTCCTGAGAGCATACAACGAAGTTCCTGTAACACATGCTGACGTTATGTTTTTACAGATTCAAAGTCATGGACGACGAGCGCATCAGCGACGACCTAGCTGCATGGGCTTGCTTCCGTCTCGATCGTCTACAAGCCGGTTACCGCGTTCTTCACCTCTACGACGCAAACGGTGTGGTATCCAAAGGCGCACTGCTGGTCCGCATCACGAAGACGGTTAGTGCGGCTTGAGTTATCTCATGACCGTAGAGTATCTGTTACTACTACTATTAACATTGTTATTTCTTACCGTGTTTTTCTTTTTCCTCAAATCATGCCCTGCTACATACTTACATGTGGCCTGTTTAGGTTCGGTGAGGGGGGTTTGACTAATGCGGATATTTTAGTTTTTTCCGGTCGGCCCCCGGTTTGGGCGTGGAAAGCAGTTTTCGCATGATAGTCTGCATAAACATCAGGGACTCGGGAAGACGCAGTCGTTGTATCACCCGAAGAAAGACGAGAAGAAGTGGTATCAGGTTGGGCGACAGAAATCTGTTCGACTCTGAAGGTGTGAAGGTTTAAAGTGAGATGCGATAATCTTCGAGTGGTGCTATTAGCGGGATATTTTTTTTTTTTTATTTTGGTTTAGCGTCCTGTGTCAGCCGGTAGGCTATATAAGACGTGCAGGCTGGGCCTACAAGTATCTACGTAGTTCTATC